AAATAAATAAACAAACAAATAAAGACGCAAAACATATAATAAAAACAACGAGTCCTTTTGACACAAACACAACAATTCAAACATTTCAGTTTGGGTTTGTTTCTGCTGCGTTTTGCTCTTTGGGGGGAGAAGTTCCTGTGGACTTGAACCTTTCCATGCAGATTTGTTTCTAAATTAAAGACTACAGGCCGACTCCAGTCACTCCAAGTCATTCAGTCATCAACTGAAAACTCCCCCAACAGCTACTGTTTTATTTCAGACCATCTTGTAAGCTCTGAATTTCATTTTGCACCTCTCAAATTGTTTCCCAACATCCCCAACATCCTGCAGTACGGCAGAAGAGAACATTTCACACCTCAGGGCCAAGTTTTGCGTGACCTTGCTCGCGAAGACAAAATAAAAATAATAAAAAAACCCTTTTATCTTGCACACAAGGTTAAGGGAGTTGATAAAGATGTCTGATAAAGGTTCAGTGCGCTGATGGTGCAGGTTCAGGGTAAAGGCAGGGGGGGTTCCACCTCAAGGAGTTGTTTGAGGTGCTGTTGTTCACCTCAGACCTCGCGTTCCAGACACTCACATTAAAAATCGGTGCTATAAAAATAATGCTCCTGTGATGTCTGGGTGGAAAAAGTTACAAATGCCACCTCCTGACTGGCACAGCAGCTGGGCAGAAGTGTCACCACCCAGTGCTCCCTCCCTCTGAAATGTATGTATTTAACAGCGGATTTATTGGATTGTTTCCTCATTAAAAGGTGTCATTGCCCAAATCATTTCAATGAGACCTTGAGGGAAGAGCCCAGGCAGAGCTGGGGCCCGAACAAGGAAACCCAACAGGGCTGAATTTTAGAAGTCTCCTTTTCCTGAAGATTCCTAAATCTAGTTCAGTGTCTCTCAACTTCCACAGTACTGCCCTCAAATTCCACAAAGCCAACACAAATCACCCCTGATATGGGAGCCTCAGGTATTTCAGGATCTCAACTGAAATCCACCCCAAGTTCTGCCAAATTTAGGAATTAAAACAAGGAATCCAGTGCCCCACCAACTCCACCAAAGGAGGGAACTCGTCCTACCCCACAGACATCCCCTGCAGCCATGTCCTGCTCTGTAATGATTTGCAGACCCTAAACCGTCCATATTATAAAACAAAGCCTAATATATTTGATGGACCAGGAAGGGGAATGGAAAAACAGCTGGGAAACATTAGAGTTTTCACACTGAGCCTTCGAATTCTTTAGCAGGAGACACTCAAACTGCCCTCACCCCTATGGAAAACGAGGCTGGGACACAATCCACTGTGAAGAGGGAAATTCTAGTGGAAGGAGGAAGTTCCTATGGGCAAAGCCTTGAGTGCTCTGAGCAGAACCAGGGTGGCTGCCCTGCCCTGACATTACACTGAGGATGGCAAACACCTCCCCTCACCCCCTCAGCCCCTTCCCCTCCACCCCACAGCAGCGGGCACAGAAGCCTCCTTTGTACATGGAATCCCACTTGGAGGGGGTAAGAGGATATTTCCTGTTAACCTCACCGCAGATTTGTAATCCAGCAGTCAAATTATGTCAATCACAGCTCATTAGGCACCGATTTCCCCTGCCAACTCCGGCCTGGCTGCCTCCTCCAAACCACGTGGCGTTTGCAAACGTGCAACCCCGCCATGGGATCAGGGAGAGACCACCCTGCTGCAGGAGCTGGGAGGCTGGAATTCACCCCCCTGGATCCCAGCTTCCCACACGGAACAGCGGTGCCATCGTGGCTAGGGATGCTCCTGGCACACCTGGCGTGCTGAGCAATGGTTTTCTCCGCAGCAAACCGGGCTTGGACACCACAATCCGGGGGTTTATGCCCCATAAAAGCCAGGAAAACATCCCACAAGGCTGAGGAGGAAAAGGGAGCATCGTGGGGAAGGCAGGTCCCTGCAGGCACATGACAGTGCTGGAAAGCTCAAGAGTCAGCTCTGGGATCCAGATCTCAGCTTGTCCATCACCCCTCACGGGCACACGGGGAACGTGGTGGCAGTGGCACACCCCCCCTTCCCTGGGCTGCAGCGTAAACTCGAGACTGAGGGAATTATCTCACAGGAAAGGGGGACAATTCACATCAGTCTGAGAGGATGGAAGGCACAGCACAGCTTACAAGTAGGAAGCTGGGTCTCTCTTGGGTTCTCTTCCACGTTCCCCTCCCTGCAGCACATCCCATCAAACACACACACAACCCCTGGGCCTCACCACGCAACACATGGAAGCACACTGACTACAGCAGTGCCACAAACAGCACCAGGAGACACAGACCCACGGGAAAACCCCCTCATGCTGCTTGTCCAGCAGGCCCAGAGCGTGGCACAGCCGGGCCTGGCACCACTGTCCCTCCCACGGGCTCAGCACGACCTCGGTAACGCCGAGGGCACCGGGACACGCTGAGATTTGAGAGCTTCACCCAAAAAGTGTCACCTGGGGCACTGCCCATCATCTCCTGCAGCTGGTACACCTCAAAGAGCGAGGCCACCCAGAGGTGGTTCTGCATTCTGAGGTGACAAACCACCTCACCAAGAGCCCTTCCTCACAACCAGCTCCTCTAACAACCCAGCAAACACACGCTGGCACACTCATCCATCACCTCCAGGCACACCATGCCCTGGCTGCAGGGACCGCAGACATCCTGGAGAAGCTCAGGAGAGCGTGTTCGAAGTGGGAAAAATAAAGCAGTCGCTGTCACCGCACTTGTGGCAAAATCTTGTGCTCTCCTCGTGGCCACGGACACGGCTTGGAGGGTGACGGCTCATCTTTCTGCACGAGGTGGGAAGAATGAAACTTCCAAACACGCTCGTGAGGCTGCAGAGGGGGAACCTTTCCAGCACAACCCAATCCTGGCATACAGAAGTGGAAACAAACCTCTCAGCACGATGACTCCAGACCTGCACGAGCTGGAGCCTCAGCACTCAGCTGAGCCTCGTGTTCGTCAGTGTCACAAACAGTCCTGGGAATTTCGTTAGCGATACGAGAATTGCCATTGTCAGCAAAGCCCTCCAGGACCTCACCAGGGCTCCCCAGTGTGCGAGCAACGCTGGTGCCAGGCTAATTTCTTAAGACAGCGTGTAAAGAAGGTGAGATTTAGTCCCATAACCTTCAGCTTCTTCTTCATACTCACATCTCCTGACTAATCCGCCATCCCCACAGAAAATATCCCTCATCCTTTTTCCCCTCACCATCCCTTTCTTGTCAATCCCTGCAGCTCTGCCCCCTGCCCCTCTCTGAGGTTTGATGGGTGGCACACTCATCCTCCCCTCAGAGCCACAGGGAAAGCAAAATAATAACATCCTGGGAGTGTATTCCTTCAGGAGCCGGTCAGAGATTTCCTGGAAGCTGCAACACCACCAGCCATCCCTGGCTGGCTTCCAGGAGGGGATGAAGGTGATTTCTGGAGCCCCATCTTGCAGCTTCTCCCAACGGGAGAAGGAATCCATGGGAGCAAACCATCCAACACCCCATCTGTACAGACTGTGCCTCTGCACGGCCTCTCCCTCCAGCAAAGCCTCAGCACTCGCCCTCTGAGCCTTTATTTAAGTCCATCTTTAGAACCAGAGGCCATCTCCTCCTTTCAAGTACCTCACGAAATCACAGGCACGGCCCTGTTATCTCCCATATTTACACGTTACACGTCTCTAACGCTTTCCCAGACGATGTCTCTGCCTCTGACTGATCTAATCAATCAGTCCCAACTCAAAGCCACCGGTTTTCTCCCCCAGACCACGCAGGCAAACCAAGCCAGACGCTCTTGCGGCAGGTTAGGATGAATCCAGACCCGATTCTGAGCCATGTGCTGCCTGTGGGAGCATCTCCCGTCCTCAGAACGACCACGGCTTTCCCGACAAGAGCAACACGACATCAGGGTTTTTCCACTGTGCCTAATAATCGTAACATCTCACTCGCCATTTGGCTCGTCAGTGGGGGTTCCTGACTGAATAGGCTTATTCTTTTCTTAGACATGATAATCTAATTGGGTCTAACCAGAAATAATCCCCAACGCACACCAGTTCGCGAATCCTCGCCCAGCGCCGGGAGCGTTCCGCGGACCGGGGGGGCTGCCCTGGGATGCGAGACGGGAATTACTCCGGCAGCAGCTCTGCTTGCCGGGCTTTCCCTGGCACTGCAGGGAGCGCAGGGCATGGCACGCACATGGGGCCGCTCGCCCTGCTCCCCCGGCCCTGCTCCACGCGGAAACGTAGCTCAAAGTGGGGAGGGCACGGCAGGAGGAGACGGGGTCGCGACAGCCGAGCGGCGACAGCCGAGACGCGCTGCTCGGGCACCTGAGAGCGAGCGGGAGGTTTGCCCAGGGAGCACCCAGGGGAGCGCAGCCCCGGCGCTCTCAAACACCGAGCCCGTCCTGCTGGCACCAACCCCCAGCCCGGCCCCGGCCCCGCCGCCCCGCACACACCGCGGGGGCAGCGCCGGGGGGGCCCCAGGGAGGACAGGGTCGGGGTGTCCCCGGGTGGGGGAACGGGATCGGGGTGTATCCTCGAGGGAGCAGGACAGGAGTGGCAGCGGGGAGGATGGGGGGGGGACAGGACCGAGGTATCTCGTGGGGACAGAGCGGGGGGCTCCCCGTGGGAGAGGGAGGGGAGTACGGCCGTGTCGCAAGACCGGGATGTCCCCGGCGGGGTGGCAGGACCTGGATGTCCCCGGGGGGGTGGCAGGACCGGGGTGTCCCGGGGGGCTCCGCCGGGCCGATCCCATCCCTGCCCGCAGCAGCCGCCCCGCCGGGGCCGCCCCCGCCCGCGGGCAGCGCTCCGCCGGCGCCGGGCAAACCGGCCGGGGCTCCGCCTGGGCTCGGCCACGGGCGGCTCTCGGGGGGGCTCCCGAGACAAAGAGCCGCGGCCCCGTCCCGCGGGCGGGGGGGCCGAGCCCACCTGTGCCCGGCCGCGGCTCCCGCTCCAACTTTTCGGCGCTCCCCCTCCCCAGCTCCCCGCTCCGCGCCGCCCGCAGACAATGGGGCCGGCGCCGGCTCACCAGGACCACGGCGAAGCGCTCCTCCAGCTCGCCGGGCTCGGGCATGGGCAGCTTGAGGGGCAGGCTGTGCGCCCGCAGCTCGGTGTGCTGCGCGTCCACGCTGCCCGCGTTGCCCATGGCGGCCCCCTCGGCGCTGCCCCGCGGGCTCCGCGCTCCGCGCTCGGGGCTCGCTGTCTCTACCACCGCCGGCGCTTCGCGGCGCCGCCGCCCGTCATGGCTCGCCGCCCTCGCCCTCCTCCCCCCGGGGCGGGCTCGCTCCGGCTCCGGCTCCGGCTGCGGCTCAGGCTCCTGCTCCGGCTCCAGCCCGGGCTGCGGCTCCCCCGCATGCCGCCCGCACAAAGCCCCGCTCCGCCCCCGGCCCGCGGCGCCATGGGACTCGTAGTCCCGCCGCCCGCCGGGGGAGGGACGCGGGGAAGGGCTGGGAAGGAGTGGGAAAGGGATGGAGAGGCGGTGGGAAGGGGATGGGGAGCGGTGGGCAGCGGTGGGGGCGACCCTGCCGCCTCCTTTTGGGCTGAGCGGCCGCGCTGGGCAGGGATGGAGGGGCAGGACACGGGGAACGGCTTCGGGCGGCCAAGGCAGGGGGGGATTGGGGATTAAGAAGGAATTGCTGACTGGGAGGGTCGGGAGGCCCTGGCACAGGTTGGGCAGAGAAGCTGTGACTGCCCCTGGATCCCTGGAAGTGTCTAAGGCCAGGCTGGACGGGGCTTGGAGCAACCTGGGATGGTGGAAGTTTGGGATTGGAGCTGGATGATCCTTGATGGCACTTCCAACCCAAACCATCCTGGGATTCCATGATCTCCATGCACCCACTATGGTGCCAGCATGGGGCTGACACTGCAGCCACAGGGACCTGTTGGGTTCAAGCAGCAAGGCAACTTCTGCCCCACCGAGGGGCTTTCCAGGGTGCCCCCAAGGCCCACATCCCTGCTGGCTGAGATCAGGATAACGGGGGGATCAATCTCCGTAGGTTCACCACCCCAACATATCCATAACCAAGCCAGTGATGCTGCCTGGGTGTAATCAGGAGGATCATCCTCCAGAGCGTATCAAACCTGCCCACTCTTCAGGTGTTATTCCCCGTTCCTTCATCATTCCCTGCAGGTTCTCTCCAACAGCATTGTGAATGCCAAACGCAGCCCCTGGGAATGGTCACTGGGTGTGCAGGGGCTGTGCAGGAAACACCAGCCTGGCCCCCAGTGCCCCCCTCCAGTCCAGAGAAAATCCCAGGAGATGGCATTGAGCCATTTGGTGACTGTGCTGTCCTGCTCTTCCATCTGTGTTAGTCCCCACTCCAAGACCCAATTCCCTCCTGCCACCCTCACCAATCCGTATCCCACTGTCTTCTATTAACTTTCCATTACCCTTCCAGGGAAGAGCAATTTTCACTCAGCTGTCACCTTCACCACAACACTCTCACTGCTGTTTCTCCTCAACCTGAAGATTAATTCTTTTTTGGGGGGGAAAGCAAGAAGATAAGCATAGTTGTTTAGAAAATGACCGTTCCCTAATTTATTCCCTCTGGGATGGCAGTCGTGCCAGAGGCACAGCTCGCTGGGAATCCTGTGTGGCAGCACACGCAACCCTGCAGTGGAAATCCGTGGAAGTGACAGGATGCTTTTCTCTGTGTGTGCTCTAAACCCACTACCAATTAAATGTGCTCATCCTAATTAAAAAAAAAAAAAAAAGCCATAATACATCCATGACTGGGATGGGGAGTCCTGGATTAGACCCCACCTTGCCCACGGAGTATCAGGGACCCCGAGCGATGCCGAAGGTGTGGATTCCTGCTCCACAGGCACTGGGGAAGGTGTTACCCCAGGGACAGCCCAGAATTCCATACAAATGCCTTGTCAAAAGCCTAAAATTCTTGCAATATCCTTAATAAACCAAGGTTTAAACCCCAGAGGGCCCTTGGGAGTCAATAACAACGTTGTTGTCGCTCATGAAGGGACCGGTAATAGATACTTCGCTCAGCATCGTTTATCTAAAACTATCACAATTCTTGGAAAGATTAATTAGTTAATTAAGCTCCACAACACTGCTGTGAGATAAGGGAGCAGTGGAGTGTCACTGATAACAGAGGAGGGTCAGGATACAGGGAGCTGGAGAGAGTTTCCAGCCCAGGATCCTTCCCTCTCCCAGCAGCAAATTGCCAGCTGGGAATTACCTGCGACAAGAACCTTACTCCAGTATGAGGAATCCCAGCATTATTCCCAGTCAGGCATTCCCACCAGGGAAGCACTCAGGAGCCTCATTTTTTCTAAATCAAGGCCAAATCCCCTCAGCATTTTTGCGTCCCTCTGGTCGTGGGGACACGCTCGGGGCCCGGGAGGAATATTCCTGGGGCCAGCCAGGAACACCTGGGACAGGCACTGGGATAATTGCAGGGCAAACTGGATTCCTCGGCTCGGGTCTCGGCAGGGAGCCAAAGGCAGCTCCAAATCCTGCTATGAGGCATATTCAGGTCAAAACCAGCCTTGCAAAGTTTTTAATGAAATTAGCCATCCTTGCACACAGCAACTGTTTGACATCAATGCCGGAGCGCAAAGGAAGGGATCCTTTCAAGAGAATAAGAGGATTTGGAAGCAATTTGTTGCCTGTAACTGGGATGTCAACGTTTGCAAATGTCAAAACGAGCCTGGCAGCAGTGCTAAATAAAAAAAGGGACTCAGCTGGCTCGCACGAGGCTAAGAAATTATTCTGGGATAAAAATTCATGAACAAGACCTTTGTTTTTACGTTTATTTATTCAAATAAACGTAAAAACAACAAAGTAAAAACGTAAACGTAAAAACAGTAAAGTAAAAACGTAAACGTAAAAACATAAAAAACGTAAAAAAAAATAAGCAGCTACACAATGTGCAATTCCCAGAGCTCATCCCAGGCACCTGGACGATTCAGACCAGGTGATGCCACCAGGATTAATGGCCATACCAGCTCTGCAAGGGCTCCATGCCACGAGCACGTGTGGAATTTCACCGGAGAATGAGACATCTCAGCCTTTCCTCGAGCTCTTTGGTCTGTTTGTCACCAAAATCTCCACACAATAAGCTGGAAGTTTGGGCCTGAGTCACTCCTAAACTCTCCTGAACCGGTGTCCACTTATCTACCTATGGAAGTGTCATGGTTTTGTGACCATAACCCTGTGTGAGAGCTGAGCTGGGCACACGGAACGAGGGTTACTGATGGCAGCACACGAACACTGACCTTGCCTGGGAGACACACAGGTGTGGAATAAAGGGGGAAAATAATAAAATAGCACCCCACAGGCTGCTCTCTGAGAACAGTTTTCTCCAGGAAAATAAGAGGCTGCAGGGTGGGGAGACACTGGCACGGGTTGCCCGGAGAAGCTGTGGCTGCCCCATTGCCTGGGAGTGTTCAAGGGCAGGTTGGAGCAACCTGGGCTAGTGGGAGGTGTCCCTGCCCAGGGCAGGGGGTGGAAAAGGATGGACTTTAAGATCCCTTCCAACCCAAACCATCCTATAATTCCATAATTCTATGAAAATCACCTGGAGCCTGAAAAGATCCCACTCATGCCAAGGGACCATTCCACTGCCACGTCCACATCTTTTCTCCAGCCACGTGGAGGTCACCACGTGAACCCCACTGGGTTTGATGCCACCTCCTGCACGTGGATGGGCACATCTGCCTGCCTCCTCCTCCCTTTCCATGCCCATGTCCACACCCCCCTGGTCCAACTGCTGTATCTCCATCTCGTGCTGAGCTCTGAGCTTGTGGCACCAGATGGGAACGCTCCATCCCTAATATGAACCATTATCAGGTTCATACCTAACCAGCCCCTCTGATTTTTCTCTGTCTGCTACAAATTGAGTTATTCCCTCTGGATCTGATTTCCCTGCAGCAGCTCTGCTCTTCTCTGGCCCTGCTGACGTCCTTTGGTGCCACTGCCAGCACTCCTGAGATGAGGTGCAGCTCCATCACCCAGACTGTGATGTCAGCGGGACAAGATCAGCCCCAGGTCCTGCTCAGGGCCACTCCCCTGCCAGCACCCAGCTCTAGATTATCACATGCCCATCTCCTACAGGAGGGTGCATTGAGTTACACCCACTTAATCCAAGACTGATCGATCCTTTGAGTCTCTCTGCTCCTTCCCAAGCTGTGGGTTCAGCTCCCAGCCCTTGGCGCTGGACTGATGGGCTGGAACCCGAGTGTGTGATGACACACAGCAACACCCAGGAGGGCTGAGGGAAACCCTGATGGTGCCTCCATGATCAGGGAGAAATCCTTGCCTGGGAGGGGGGGAGGCTCAGATGATTCTTCTCTGGACACCAGTGGGAATGATCTGCTAGAGTCTGGAGAACAAACCAGTGCCAGCAAACAGCAGGAGCATCTGCTCTGGGGGAGGGAGTGAGGGGCTGCTTTTGAAGTGTGGCCCTGAGAGAGGCACCTCAACCACGGTGCCCACTCATCTCTGACACTTCCCTGAGAAATTAATGCGGTTTAAGGGTAAAACAAGAGGATGGGGCAGGCTACAGCTTCTCTGCCCAACCTGTGCCAGGGCCTCCCAGCCAGCAATTCCTTCCCAATATCCCATCTCTCCCTGCCCTCTGGCAGTGGGAAGCCATTCCCTGTGTCCTGTCCCTCCATGCCTTGTCCCCAGTCCCTCTCCAGCTCTCCTGGAGCCCCTTTAGGCCCTGCAAGGGGCTCTCAGGTCTCCCTGGAGCCTTCTCTTCTCCAGGCTGGACACCCCTCCAGGTAAATGGAGTTTAAAACAAGGTGCAAAGGCTGGGATGGAGAATCCCCAGGGAGCACTGGGATGTGAAGAGGAACACCTGGAGCTGGAGGACACCTCACTTCCAGAGTGGGGTGGTGACCCTCGGGATCAGCCCTGGAATCTCCACGTTCCTGCTCATGTCCCTGGGGTCAAACACACCCGAGTGTTGTTTCCTGGTGGGACCGAGCCCGGCCGGGAGCTCGCCCGTGATTTCTTGGCAGGAAGGCAAGCAGACAAAACAGAGCTTCGGAATTCCCAGCAAGGCTTAGGGTTGCAAACGCTAACGAAACTGAGATAATGGAGCAGAAAATAGCGGGAGGGAAGGAGTCAATATTTAATAAAGCCACCGTGCGAGTGCAGTGAGATGGAGACCCAGCCTGCAGGACGTGCAATAACCTCCATCAGAGCCTCCTCTCTGCTTCTCCCAGCCATGGAGGGGCTGCAGCTCGGCCCTCAGCTGGCTCCTGGCTCCAAAGGCCACCCGTGGGACAATGCCAGCCATTGTCCCCGGGCAGGAGGACAGCTCCCTGTGCCTCCACGCAGGCTCCGCACACAA